GGGATGGCAGGGTGTGGGGGTTGGGGTGGCGGAGGGACCAGGAGGCCCATGTCCTAGGTCGGGTTGTCTGAAGCAGAGCCTGAGATACAGGTTCAGGTGGTCATGAGGGAGGGTCTCAGGAGAAAACCAGTGAGGGAGTGAGTGGAGCAGGATAGGGAAGGGAAAGGGTTGAGCAAGACTCAGTCTCAGGTAAAGTCTAGTGTTGGCCTCATGAGGTGGAGGGGGCTCTGGAGTGGCAGCCGCACTGTTGACTCAACACACGTGAGGCAAGGGGGTGGCTAGTGGGTGTGGGTGGCAATTGGGGGGTGGCTGAGTCATTAGCAGCCAACACTCAGAGCAGCTTGATGTCGAGTGTGCCCCCCAGCACAGGGGGTCCGGGCAGGTACCCATAGTGTCCGCTGCACCCCAGGCAGTAGTTAGGGGCCACTGCAGTGCCAAAGAGGTGGGAATTCAAACTGGGTTGATGAAAATCTCTGGGCAATTTATTGGAATCTGTGTGCACTGATTTTTCTCCCCTTCTCTATTTTCTCCTTTGTTTTCAAATTTTCTCGTCTTTCTCTGATCTCTTTTCTTCTGTTGGTGACCCCATTATGTTCTTTGGCCTTCCTTGTTCCATGTTGATTCCTCGTTTTAATTTCTTCTGTCTTTCCACTTATCCGATATCTCCCCCTGCCCACATTTTTCTTTGCACTTCCTCCCTTTCCTTCCTCCCTGCCCTCCATGACCTCCCTCTCTTCTGCTCTCCAATTGTGTTTTTTTCCTCCAGAAAGAGGAGCGTGTCTCTGAACTGCGCCATCAACTCCAGTCTCGGCAGCAGCTACGCTCCCGGCGCCACCCCCCAACACCCCCAGACCCCTCTGGGGGCCTGCCCAGGGGACCTCCTGAGCCCCCCGACCGACTTAGCTGTGATGGGAGTCGAGTCCATTTGCTTTATAAGTGAGGGGAGGGCAAGGGAGAACAGGCCAGTAGGGGGAGGGAAAGGAAGAGGGGGAATGGTGGGGACTTGGGGGAAGCAGGGGATCCCTATCCCCATTGGGGAAGAACGTGCTATCCAATCCCATCTCTTGTAAATACATGTCCCTCTGTGAGTCGTGGGGTTGTTTGGGTCTCCAGTACTCTGGGAAACAACCTTTTTCTCTCTTGTTCATTCGTATAATTTTATATCACTACTTCATCATTTAGTTTCCACCTCTCTTGAAGCTACTCGCTCACCGACTCCTCAGCAGCCTCACATCATCGCTCTCTGTCTAGTTACCATGGCAACCCCTTTGCTTTTGTGCTCTGCTCCCATCCAGCAGGGGTCTCCCCACAAGTGCTCTTTCCACCCCAACAGGGGCCTCTCCTTTTTTCTCACCATCATAGTCTCCTTTCATCCTGCCCTTCCACACATTTTGTCCCCCACTGAATTTTGCTTTTTCTGGGGACTCCTTCTTGCCAAGGCTCACATGCTCCTTGCCTCTGCTCACACTTCTCAGCACACATGATCCTCCCTCTCTTGCTTGTGCCCACTGGACATGCTCCTGTGCACACACGCTTTTCCCACGTGCTCTCTTGCGCCCCCTGCACTCGGCTATGTGTGCCCCTCTCGTGGTCAGGGGTGTGTCCATGTGTGTGTTTGGGTAGGCAAGTGCACTTTGTCTAGCATACTGAGTCATGTCCTCTCTACTTGCACACATTCGTGTGGATCATGTATTTTCCCTGCGTACACTCAATGTACCTTGTGTACCTTTGCACCTTAAAATCATTGTATTCTTCCAACAGAGCCATGTGCACCACCCTGCACATTGTTACGCACTTTTCCCCAATTCCTGTTTCGTGGGGCCTTCCACACCCTCTCCTTATCGCAGAGTCTCAGTTTCTGCTAAGATGT